ACCTAAAATTATATCCTGTAGTCTGGAATTCTATATCTTATAGTATGATAAGTTTCTTAAAGTACTGCTTTAGTGTAAGCAAATGCATCTCTGCAAGAGTCTTCCATTAAAGGGTTGTGTAATAAAGCTGATTGATTTCCACTAAAAGAAATATGACTCATCTAAATGCTGCTAACCTTGTGTGTCCAAACACTGCAGTGCTGCACAACTACCAGCTTCTCCGTTACACTTGTATATTTTATTACAAGATGTTTATCCCAAAAACATGGTGCACTGGTCTCTAAAATGACAAATTTATTGGACTTTCACAAAAAAAAAAGAAAGCATAATCTATCATAGGCAGGATTATTTTACTAGCTTTGCAGGGTTTTTTTCCATAAGAAAAAGTTTTCTGCAGTCTATATAATTAATTTTTTATTCAATAACATATATACTCATATTAGTATTTATTAATCAATTGAGCTCCAAACACACTTTAAGAAGACTAATTAGATGATGACAGCCTATCAGATGTACATTTATCTTGTTGATATATTGAAAATCTGTTTTTCTTAAAATTCAGCTATTTAAAAGAATTGACTTCAGGGTTGTTTTGCAGTAACGTAGCCATATGGCATCACTTTTCTGTTTCAGGCACTTTATTTTTCTTTAAAGAAAATGACAGTTATATTATCCAGCATTACATTTAGATGCATTAGCCTATATTTTAGGCTTTGATGTAAATAAACTTATATTGTGCCTTTCATAGACATCACAAATTATATGTCAATATGGCATGTAAGACAAATACAACTTTTGATCTAAATGCATATTTATTTAAATGTTGGGAAGGGAATTACAGCACTGTAGCAGAATGTAAGGTCCCACACAGAAGACATGTGTAGAATGTCCCACACAGAAGGCACTATAGAAAGACATGGCGTCTAGGACTGGTACTTTTACCTATACCAGGCTTCACAGAAGACAGTGTTTGATCTTGTTTATATATAATGTCCTATCTGATGTGCCTCAGAGTAATTATGAAAAGTGATAATAGCATTCAACTTAATTTTCTTATTTAATAAATAAAAGGTAAAGTATCTTTTCCCAAAGGAACTGTGCATTTGTCTTACTGGAACTTTCTCTTCAAGCAAATGCTTTGTTAGTATGATTCACTAATATATATGGTTCTTTTAGCATCCTCTTCACTGTAGTAGCCGAGTGCATTAATACTCTTTAATGTATGGCATTACAGATGGGCCCAAAATTAACTAGACAATTTAAGGAAAGAGGTCCAGAATTATGAGTTACCCACTAAAATTCCCAATCACTAATCATATCCAGAGACTCAGATAATCCCCATTTATTCTAAATGCTATAAACATGGTATGAAGTGTAGGTAAGAGAGAGGTTCTCTCAAATAGCAAGGGCTCCATTCATGGTGTGCTTTACAGATTAGAGACCCTGTCTTGAGCTGCACTTAAAAGATGAATAGGTAGAAATTCCAGGGGGGGGGGGGGGGACTTGTGACAGCTGCTATCTAATAATCAAGAAATTGCATTCTGCGCCAGCTGTAACATTTAAGTGGTCATCGAGGAGATCCTGTAGTGGGGTGGGTTGCCATTAGTGTGTGTAAAAACAGACCTGAGAGAGAAGAACAAAAGTAACTGCCAGAGAAATAGGTGTGTGTATAAGATGCTCTTGGATGCCAACAGCAGTTGGAATTCCAAAGGAAGACCGGTCTCAGAACTCCACTGAACTGTGAACTTTGTAGAAAAAGTTTGCTTGTGAACCCTATTTGATGGTGTCTGTGAGCATCCTTGCTGTATCCTTAAAGTATTTACCATGGCTTTAAGAATAAATCTTCCGTTTTGTACAGATAGAGACTTGGGCTGCATACGCACGTTCAGATGATCCAAGAACATTCTTCTGGGTTTGTTTTCCTGATAGAAAAATTTACCTGGTGACCCCTGGGTAGACATTTGATCACTGAGACCCTGAGGAGCAGAAAACTTGCAGTGTTGATGCTACACAGCTGGGGGAGGGGAAAGGGGGAGGGGCTGTGTTCACATCTCAGCATGCTCTGCAGGCTCCCTCATTCTTCCTGGTGACAGATGGCATCAAGGGAAAGGAAAGCTATGATTGGCTGACTCAAACTGCTCAGGATCAGTCTGTGTCTTTCTGCAGCACTATGTGGGGACTGTGAAAGAGGCATGGTTTGCTCACTGCTTGGCTAGAGCAGTAGAGTCTAGCAAGTGATTCAGATGTTGGGGGGAGGGAGAAAAGCACCCTGGGATGCTGGAGGACTGTGCTGTGGCTTCTCTCAGAAGGGAACATGTACAGACATTCGCTTTCCTAGGAGAAACTCTCCTGGGAGTGATCTAACCCTGTTTGTTTCTGGGTTATTTTTCTCCCCAAGTGGCCATTTTTTGCTATGGAAGAAAAATCTTGAACATTTGTACACTTGTGTTTTCTAATGGGCTATTAGAAACTTCCCAGTAGAAACTGAATGTCTGTACATGGCCTCAGACTCACATCCAGGTCCAGGCATCAGGTAGAATGTGGGCATAATAGATGCTACCTCATCTGGTTTTGATAAAATGAGCTGCGCAACTGTACCAGCAATGCTGTAATCTGCATTTGTATTAATGCCGTAACCCTACCTTGTGTTTGAATTTCAACACATTATTGAAGAACAAAGCTGCATAGAGTAATTTAGAAGCCTGGAGAGTAGTTGCCCTCCTCTGAAGAAGAGCAGCAGATGGGAAGAGCATGGAGGTGACTGAAATATATTAGAATGTTCCATGATATGTTTAATACTAATATAAAAAGGGCTTAGTCCATTTTTCTGTCTCTCCGTAATGCTCTTGGAGCACTCTGATTTAGTTACTGAAACAACCAAGCTCCAAGAGCTTTCCGGACAGGAGGCGACTGCGAAGTGCCACCATGACAGCATACCACTGGCTCACCTTTCCCTCCCTGGCCCTGCTCCCTGGAGGTGGTAACAATGGAGCAGATGGAGGGGGGTGGGGGCGGTGAAGCCAGCACTGCTGGCCTTGCCTGCCCCCTTCCTCCTCAGCCCTGCTCCCTGGAGGTGGCAACAACGGAGTAGATGGAGTGTGGGGGGGCGATGAAGCCAGCACTGCTGGCCTTGCCTGCCCCCTTCCTCCTCAGCCCTGCTCCCTGGAGGTGGTGGCAACAAAGTGGAGGAGTGAAGCCAGCACCTCTGGCCTCGCTTCCCCCGCCCGCTCTCTCTCCTACCGGCCTGCTCCCTGGAGGCGGTGGCAGTGTGGTCTGCTGGTTGAGTGGGGCAGAGATGACATCGGGGCAAGCTTCCTCCCCACCCTGCTCCTAGGAGGCGGCGACGCTCCATCCCTACCCACTCCCCTCCCTATTGTTCCCAATGGGCAGTTGACTAGTATGGTGATATAGATTTAATTTTAAAGATTAATTTTTGGTAGGAAATGCTGCATGTTGACTTTGTATACCTATTTGATTCATGTTTGGGTCTGAATACAAATTCAGCCTATCATTTCCTGAATTTCCTATTGAGGTTTAAATATTTAAGCAGCCCCTGTCACAAGCCCATACTCTTTCTATATTAGCTTTTTGTGGTATAATATATTATTATTATTTTTATTACTGTTGTGATTATGTGAAGTTCTTGATCCCACAAAAGTTCATCTCTTTCTTCAGTACAAATTGTCCTTAAGAATAGTCTGTAGTGCAGCAAAATATATTTTTTTCTTGGGGACCAAGAACATTTCCAACTTATCAGTGTAGACTCAAAAAATTCTGTTACAGCTTTGACGTATCTATCAACGAGGAGGGAGTCACACTAAGAAACATTAAATTAGATATGTGAAAATGCCTATCCTTCTTGCTTTGGAAATTGTCTTTAATATTGTATTTAAGGAAAATCTTGTTGCTGTGCATTTTTTCACAAAAAAGAAAAGTGGGATCTTAAACTAAAGCTGAATATAATGAAAATAATGAGAGGAAGAGATATAATACAGAAGAAAAATAAATCAGTTATGACTATGAGGTCCTTGGGAAGCAAATTATACTCCAGATCCAAGTATCCTGGAAGTTCAACATTATCCATTGAACGCAGTGACAAAATGTGCCTGTGAGGTTCAGATGTGAGTTTTCAGTTTAGTTCCCCTTCTCAGTTGAAATCCATTTAACCCAGAGGTATCAAACTCATGTTGCCCCACAGACAATGGGCTGAATTCGGCCCATAGACACTTTTTTTCCCCCTTTTCCTGTGACCCTCTTCGCCCTGTGCCAGATCCAGTGCATGTGATGTCTATTTCATCAGGTCTGAGACACCAGCAGCATGTGGCGCGGTGTCCTAGGTTGGCTGGGGAGGGCACTGCATGCTGCTTGGTTCCTGTAATAGCTGGAATGGGCAGTGCATGCGGCGCAGTCCAGCTGAGGCAGGTGCCATATGCAGCACAGGTCCCAGACTGGCCAGGAGTAGATGCCATGTGTAACATGCGGTACTTCCCCTCATCAGATTGTGCTGCATCTGCATTGCATGTGGCACTCCACTGGGCTGGTCCAGAACCATGCTTCTCAACCCCCTGCTTCAGCCAATCCACTACCCATGATCTATGTGATACCTGCAAGTGCCACCTGCAGCATGGGTCCTGGACCAGCTGGAGAAAGGACCATGTACAGTGTGTGTCCTGGATTGGCTGGGGTGGGTGCTGTCTGTGGCACCACGTGCCCTCCCTGTGGAGCCAGCCTGACTTGTGATGTGTAGCACCCAGGTGCAGCACCAGGGGCCTGATGACAGGGCTCCATGGGCCAGATCTGACCTGTGGGTTGTATCTATGGACACCTGATTTAAAACATTGCAAAGAGGATGTATATCAAAGTCTTGCAATCATTCTTGAATTTAAAAGTTTTTGTTAACATTTTTTTATTTGCTGCTGAATATATTACTGGAGGGAATACATTTTTCAATTTGTAGAAAAAAAATAGAAATTTTTTACGTAGTTTTATTTGTATTACAGGAGCATCAGGACAGTGTGCTGGGAAATACTATGCACAGTATAATTGCCTTATTGAATAACCTGGTTGCCAACAAAAATACAAACCTGATGTTACTTTATGAACAAGGTATGTATTTTCTATGTATTGCATCCTCCTTCCTGCATCATTTTTTGACATACTTGGTGAAGCTGGATTGCACATGCATGAGATTTTCTACTCATTGTACTTACTTCTTTACTGGTTTGTAGTCACTAGCCACACTAAAGCCAACTGGCATTCTACACATCCTCCTCCACCCTCATATTTATTTAACTCCTTTTGATTAGAAATTATAACTTTTAGAATGCTGCTTCCTAAAGGAAATGTAATTCATCAAGCAATGAAGCTTAAATTATGCCTCTGAGGCACAGACTTTCATATGGGTGGTGCAGAGTCTGGCACGCATGAACTCTGATTGCAGCTGGCCTTTGTACACATGGGATATGCGAGAAGAGGAGAGGCTGCTTGTGTTCTCCCTTCCTGTTCACATCCATGAAAGTGCTAGTTGTGGAACACTCCAATCTATTTCTTTCTTGGTTCCCCATTTCTGTATTATGAACTACACAGGGACTGCTGCACTCAGAAGGGGTTATACTGAAACTGAAAACCGATCTGCAAATAAACAACAGGCAGCCTTAGTAAGAAAATCTGTTAAAATAAAGGTCTTTGCTTAGGTTTATAAGATGAAGAAAGACACATCTGAAATTAAAGTGAATTTTTATTTTTAAATTTATCTAGGAATTTACAAGTCTTTGTAGCACAGTCTGTTTTTTGTTACTTATTTCTTCTGTGTTTGTAATTAAGTAAACAGTGCTGGAGTAACAACAGAAAATGTACAACATTGTCATTTTTCCTATAAATCACAGGCCTGAAATATTGTTATTAAAGTGCTTAACATATTTAGAAAGGATAGGCAGGGGAAAAGAGGAAGCAGGTTTGCCTTACGCATCCAGAATTAATTTCCTTTACACTAAAAGTCAAGCAAGTTGGAAGAAGCAGACATTGAAAGTCTTTAGGTGAAGATAAACGGGGAAAAGGACAGAGGAAATACCATGGTAGAAGTTTTCTCTGGACCACCAAATTAGAAGAAGATGGTTGAAGATTTGAATAAAGAGCAAAAGCATCCAAAGAGCAAGAGCCAGTAATAATGAGGAACTCTACATATATGAATGTCTCTCGGATAATAAATGTGGCAGAACACATATTCTCCAACAAGTTCTTGGAATGTACTGGAAACAACTTTTTGTTCCAGAAGGGGGAGAAAGATGGTATAGGTGGCGGATATAATTCTGAATTTTATAAGGATGAACTGGTTGAAAAACTGAAGGTAGAAGATAGTTTTGGTTGAAACTGGTTATGAAACAGTAGAAGAAATGTTAGAAATACAAGAAAAGGGTGGGCAGCAGAATAATGACCATGAGCCCCCAAAAAAGCAGACTTCATTACCTTCAGTGTTGTGGTAAGGAAGAGTCTGTGGAAAGGAAGGCTGATGGGAAAGA